AAACCGATATGTTTGGCGTAAAAGCAACACAGCTCATCACCCTGAACACACCATCCCCACTGTCAAACATGGTGGTGGCAGCATCATGCTTTGGGCCTGCTTTTCTTCAGCAGGGACAGGGAAGATGGCTAAAATTGATGGGAAGATGGATGGAGCCAAATACAGGACCATTCTGGAAAAAAACCTGTTGGAGTCTGCAAAAGACCTGAGACTGGGACGGAGATTTATCTTCCAACAGGACAATGATCCAAAACATAAAGCCAAATCTACAATGGAATGGTTCACAAATAGACGTATCCAGGTGTTAGAATGGCCAAGTCAAAGTCCACACCTGAATCCAATCGAGAATCTGTGGAAAGAGCTGAAGACTGCTGTTCACAAACGCTCTCCATCCAACCTCACTGACCTCGAGCTGTTTTGCAAGGAAGAACGGGCAAGAATTCCAGTCTCTCGATGTGCAAAACTGATAGACATACCCCAAGCGACTTGCTGCTGTAATTGCGCTACAAAGTATTAGCGCAAGGGGGCCGAATAATATTGCACGCCCCACTTTTCAGTTTTTTATTTGTTAAAAGTTTAAATTATCCAATACATTTCGTTCCACTTCACGATTGTGTCCCCCTTGTTGTTGATTCTTGACAAAAAATTAAATTTTTATATCTTTATGTTTGAAGCCGGGAGGAGGCCCCGCGGAAGACCCAGGACACGCTGGAGGGACTATGTCTCTCAGCTGGCCTGGGAACGCCTTGGGGTCCCCCCGGACGAGCTGGAGGAAGTGTGTGTGGATAGGGAAGTCTGGGCGTCTCTGCTTAGACTGCTGCCCCCGCGACCCGGCAACGGATAAAGCGGAAGAAAATGGATGGATGGATGGATGGATGTTTGAAGCCTGAAATGTGGCAAAATGTTGAAAGGTTCAAGGGGGCCGAATACTTTCGCAAGGCACTGTACTTTTGAGGACCTGTGAGATTTCATAACACTTTGAAGCAACTTTTGTTAAAGTTAAACTCATCATTCTATCAATGTGCAGAAGCCAGTACTTTTCCCTTGTTTTGTCTATCTGAAGGCCAAGCTACAAGCACACCGTGGAAGCTGCTGATTGGAGGTCTCCATGCCTCCGCTATAATACACTTGCATTCTCTTGTTTCTGTGATCGTGTGCTTTGATCGTGCTGTCTCTACCATCGACAATAAAACATGTCTTCTGTCTGAATTTAAGACGCGATCCCAGACTATGTCATCTTCTTCAGACCTCACAGATGTCATTAATGTACAATATAAACAATTTAGGCCCAAGGACTGAGCCCTGTGGGACTCAGTGTGTTGTTAGGTTTTTATCTGAATTAACATTATTGACAGTAACATTGAGCGTTCCATTTTAGCTAATAATAAATCGTGATTGATGGTATCAATGGCTTTGCTCAGATCAATAAAAACTCCAACTGTATACTCGCCTTTGTCTGTCGCAGTTGAGATTGCTTCTACCAGCTCCATGACTGCCATTGAGGTAGATCAGTTTGATCTGAAACCAAACTGGCAGTCGCTTATGATGTTGTGCTTACTGCAGATTTCATCCAAGCCCTGATAATGATTGTAATAAAACTTTTTAGTAATAATTATTAATGTTATTTTGTTTTGATGTAATGAGCCCAGCATTGAAGATCCCGGTGATCTAGAGCAGCCTTTCTCTAAGTGGGGCACGGGGTACGCAGGGCTCACTCGGGCATGCCAAAGAATCACTGAAAAAAAAAAATATATATATATAAAAAAATACATTTACATGAAATACTATCAAACATATTAGAATGGATGAAATATTTTATCAACCTATGGCAAGAAAATGAAAAGAGATACAAATTAACTTTTAATTAACAAGTTTGCAAGTGCTTCTGGGTAGCACTAGTAATCCTATGTAGCATTTGAAATCGCCGTTGACGTTGAGTTAGGCAAGCTGACGGTAGCTGTTACAGGCAATAGGTGATGGCAGGAGGTGGAGTTTTTTAATAATGAAGACTTCAAAACCACTGTCGTGGCTCCAGTCTGCGAAGGGAAGTGTGGACCAGGATGAAGCGAGCACTGAAGAGGACGAGTGTGAGCAAGGTGCAGGTGCACACAGCCGGTGAATGCCACGGGCACGTAGCAGCCCCCAGAGCAGCTGCTAGCAACAACCGGCTCAAAAAAGTAGGAAATATGACGAAAATTATATCAAATATGGATTTATTTGGAGTGGGAGAGAGGAAGAGCCCAAGCCGCAGTGTGTGATATGTGGCGACGTTTTGAGCAAGGAATGCATGAAACCATCGCATCTCAAACGCCATCTTAAAACCAAACACAGGAAACATAACGGCAAACCAGTGGAATTTTTTTTTTTACGAAAACGTGATGAACTGAAGCAGTCAAAGTCCACCATTCAGTCCTGTGGTACACCTCAGGGACGTGCGGTGAGGTTTGTGATTGGGGAGGCACTGACTTTAAAAGTCAGATTTACAATCATTATTCAAATAAAATAGCATTTAATCACCAATGCAATGACATCCACAAACTTTATATACTGTAAAGATAAGAGAACCAGCTTCTTTTAATAATCTCACAACAAATCTAGCTGCTGACTCTGCTCCGCATCAAACAACATCTTTAAGAAGCGCAGGTGCGAGAGACGACGCGAGGAGAGAGAGACGCGAGGAGAGAGGAGCAGAGAGAGACAGAGAGGAGCAGAGAGACGGAGACGCGAGGAGCAGAGAGAGACGGAGACGCGAGGAGAGAGAGACGGAGACGCGAGGAGAGAGAGACGCGAGGAGAGAGGAGCAGAGAGAGACAGAGAGGAGCAGAGAGACGGAGACGCGAGGAGCAGAGAGAGACGGAGACGCGAGGAGCAGAGAGACGGAGACGCGAGGAGAGAGAGACGCGAGGAGAGAGGAGCAGAGAGAGACAGAGAGGAGCAGAGAGACGGAGACGCGAGGAGCAGAGAGAGACGGAGACGCGAGGAGAGAGAGACGGAGACGCGAGGAGAGAGAGACGCGAGGAGAGAGGAGCAGAGAGAGACAGAGAGGAGCAGAGAGACGGAGACGCGAGGAGCAGAGAGAGACGGAGACGCGAGGAGCAGAGAGACGGAGACGCGAGGAGAGAGAGACGCGAGGAGAGAGGAGCAGAGAGACGGAGACGCGAGGAGAGAGGAGCAGAGAGAGACAGAGAGGAGCAGAGAGAGACGGAGACGCGAGGAGAGAGAGACGCGAGGAGAGAGGAGCAGAGAGAGACAGAGAGGAGCAGAGAGACGGAGACGCGAGGAGCAGAGAGAGACGGAGACGCGAGGAGAGAGAGACGCGAGGAACATAAACAATAATTTAAACAAGTTGCAGAACTCTTGAGCAGTGTTTGAATCAGTGTTTTTCGGAAAAGCACTACTTTGCCGGTATCTGTCAATGTTCAACATAAAACACAGATTAACAAACTCCTCCCCGGCAGCCGGACTAACCTCGTAAGTCCAGTGGTGGTCTCCCAGTCTATATTAATTCTTTCTTTGTTTGAAAGTCCAATTGAGAAAAAAAATCTTCATTCAAATCATCCATTTTCCAGCAAAAGAAATAGCATTTTGGGCTGATTGTTTGTTAGCAACTCTGGTATGAACTTTATGCTCACTATCACCCCTAGCGGTGAGGCACAGATACCGCCTGCCTCACGCCAAGCTTTTTCCTTGTGTGTTCATCTACGATCAAAAGACTTAAACTAAATATAAATTGTACACACATACGTGCAATACACTACTAAACACTAAGAGGAGTTTAAAAAATGTTTTTAAAGCAGGATATTTGAAACAAACGGTGATATATCAACTGCACGAGCTGAGTGCACTCAGACACACACACACACACTGTGAGGGAGCGGTCTGGGGTGAGGCACGCAGGAGCGCATGCCTCACCTCGTCTCTTTGAATAGGAATAACGGGATTTCGGCGATTTTGACTTCAGAAATGATCAAAACTGATGGGAACCGTGCCGAATATACATTAAAAGCATAGGACAGTGGATATAAATTATATATTTAAACTAAAATAATTATTAGTTTCCAATAATGGCAGGGGAGGCTCTGCCTCCCCTGCCTCCCCTGACTGCACGTCCCTGGTACACCTGTAGCCAAAGCACAGGAGGCTTCATATCGTGCCAGGTAAGCCGCACACAATCGGGGAAAAGTTATGTTTACCTTTAGCCAAAGAGATGACACGGATCATGTGTGGAGAGAAAGCTGCCAGAAAGTTAAACACTTTCAAATGACACCGTGTCAAGGAGAATAAAAGAGATGGCTGATGTTAAAAACACACTGATTGAGCGCATTAAGAACATGTGCACTCTCGATGAGAGTACAGTAGCAGATTTGGCCTATTTATTAGTTTATGTGAGATATGAATATGATGGTGCAGCTCAGGAGGATATTCGGTTCTGTCAGTCACTTAACTACGGCAGAGCACAAATTCCAACTACTGAACGCGTTTATCCAAGAGAACGGACTGGACTGGAAAAAGTGTGTGGGTGTGTACCAGTGGGGGAGGGTCCCAGCTCAAAAGTGGCCAAAATGACGTGCGCTGACGTGCTTGCAATACCACCCCGGGCCGATGGGGGTGGACCCAGAAGTAGAATTAGCCAATGCTAACATATAGCATTGGCAGACCTCTCAAAAACGTCTTTACAGGATGGACCAAAAGTTGGCTCTTGGCCCAAAGCTCCGTTCCACATGTGTGTCAATGCTGAGGGGGGTGGATTTTTTTGGACCACTCTATTTTACTTGCTATGAATTTTTGAAGTTTCTCGTTCAAACAAATGGAGTTGCGCCGGCTGACGCATGCGCAGATGCGTTTTTTCACAATTTTCTTGTAGGCGGGACCACTCACGGCCATTTTGGATTTCTCCAGTAGAGCAAATTTTTTGGCCCATTAGTTAGAACGGCGGAGATAGGCGTGACTCTGTCCGTTAATATATACAGTCTATGGTGTGTACAGACGGCGCAAGGGCTATGACAGGTCGTAACAGCGGGGTAGCCACTCGCATCAGAGAGGTGGCACCTGAGATGCGCTGGACTCACTACAGTATCCACCGTGAGGCGCTGGCAGTGAAGAAGATACCTGATGACCTGAAGTCTGTGCTGGACTCTGCTGTAAAAACTGAACTTCATAAAGTCCAGACCAATGAAAGCTTGCTTATTTCATGTGCTCTACGAGGAGATGGGTAGTGAGCATGTCCAACTCTTGCTTCATACTGAAGTAAGGTGGCTTTCAAGAGGAAAGGTACTTTCGAGGGTTTTCGAATTGCACAGAGGTCCAGATGTTCTTGCAGGACACACATTTCCCTCTGTCAGACATTTTTGAGGATGCTGTATGGCTCAGTCAGCTGGCCTACTTGTCTGACATATTTTCACGTTTAAACGAACTGAATTTGGGACTGCAGGGACTCTATGTTTTTGATGTGCAGGACAAAATAAATGCACTGCTGAAAAAGTTAGTTATTTGAAATTTAAGTCAAGACAGGTGATGTTGGAGCTTTCCCTGCTTTGGAGAGTTTTCTGTCTGATAATGACCTGATGCTTGATGATGGAGTCAGGGAGAACATTGCTGCACACCTCGCATCACTCAGACAACAGTTCTGCAATTATTTCCCAGTGATGCCTGAAGCTGAAAGGTCGTATAATACGCTTTTCTTCATGTTTCACTGTCAATCCTATGCACATGTGTGATAATAATGTGTGTGATACACCATGCAACACTCAAAACTTGTGAGGTTATAGCCATCTCTTGTATAGAGGTGACGTCAGCTCAACTCAAACAAGCTGATTCAGAGAGTAGTCTGCTCCTCTGTCCGTGAGCCCGCCTCCCCCCGCCCGCACGGTGACGTAGCCTCACGCTCTGAGTTGTTTATCACCGGTACTTAGTCATTTCAGACATACGAACAAACTTTTCCAACAATGACAATCCGTTACATCGAGCCCTATGTCCTCGATGCACAATCAGACCCTAGTTATTTAGTTTACAGAAGTATACAGCGAGTTAGCGTCACTGTACTCACAGATCGGGGGTCCGTGTTAAGTTTTTTATCGTGGGAGTAACACATGTTTCCAGATCAGCTTTTGAGTAAGTCCAGTTCCATTGTCCCTTTTAGTTCTGGAACGGTCTCAGTGAAGTGTCGCAGATGAACCCGTTATTATAATAGATCTAAGAGATGAACAGATGAAAAAAGTCGAGTCGCTTTCTTCCTCTTCGGGGAAAATAGTGCGTCACATATTTACACACACAAAACACATTTTATCCAAGTTGACGTGATCCTAACACTTATAGTTGCTGACAAAAACAGAAAAACAGCAGCTCTATGTGGTGTCCGAGGGACAAAACCACACATACGCTGGACTCGGGAGCCGGACTTGGGAGCTGGCTGTGCGCTCTGATTCACTGTTTCGATCTGTCAATCAACTCCCGCCGGCTTTTACTATGATTTTTATTTTTATTATTTTTGACAACAAACAGCATACTTATTGTGTATTGCTTACCCCGTTTTGACTAAATTATTTAAAAACCATTTTAAAAACAAAGCAAACTGGCTTATGCGCGTCATATTCGTCATCAGAGTGGTAATCGTCACTGAAGTGGACCCGAGCGTTTCTGTGCCTCTCGACGCTGAAGGAGAAAGATCGCTCTCTTACTAAAGATTGACAGAATCAATGAAAAAACTACTCTGGGCATGTGTATGAAGGCCAAATAGCACTGTAATCATGTTTAAAGCAGAGAAAAGTCAAAAAGCGTAATATGGGCCCTTGAAGCTAGAAGCTGGATGAGAAACCCTTTCAACATCAGCACCTCTGACGTTGCCTCAATGGACTTAACACTTTTTGAGCAGGAGAGTTTAATAGAGCTGTCTTGTAACAAAACACAGAAGGCATCTTTCAGAAAGCACACTTTGTTGGACTTTTGGATGAAGCAATACAGTGAATACCCTGTGCTTTCTGACAAGGCAGTGCGTTTTCTCCTTCCTTTTGCAACCACCTATCTGGGTGAGAAAGGCTTCTCTTCACTTGTTGTCATAAAAACAAAGTACAGAAGCAGGGTGGATGCTGAGCCAAACCTGAGACTGAAGGTGACCTCCATTGACCCAGATATTGCAGGACTGTGTTTTGTTTTATTATCAATCTTATTGTTCTTCTTCTGTGTTTGTGTTTTTGTTTGAGAAAGCAGCTATATAGCAGTGTGTAAAGTTGAGACAGCAAGAAATGTTACTTGCAGCTAGGCATACAGCCTTAGTTTAGTTACTTAAAGATTAAATAAAACTACTGTACTTAAATGTTAATAGCAGATTTTCACATATATTTTAGTTCAATGTTTATTTAACTTTTATGTGCAATACATTTTAATTGAATCATTATTTAAGTACAGTTTTTTTCGCTACTGTGTAGTGTTGGTCATTTGTGGTGGTACTTGGAGAGGCAAGTATTTTCTGAGGGGGTACTTGGTGCAAAAATTTTGAGAACCACTGATCTAGAGAAACAATTGGAGCACAACCTAGCAGCTCTTTTAAAAAAAATGCAAACTGTTCTCCACCAGCCCTTATTGCACAGTTCACTCAGTGACATTTTGAAAGAACACACAAATGTGGAAGATTCAGTTGTCAACCAGGTAGTCAGGGCTGCCTTTGAGTGCAATGTCATACCAAAGATTTGTCGCAAGGGTGGATCCTCATCCACCTCGTAAAGGAGAGCAGCATTTGTGAACAGAAACTTTGCTGTTATGCCAGTTGAATATTTTATTGGCAGAGACAAGCAATCCAGCGCTGTATATGTACCTATCAATGTCATGTTACAGAAAATGCTGAATAGGGCAGACATTTTAGAGAAGGCTCTTCCAGAACAAAGATATGTGCCACACGAGTACAGTACATACAAGGATGGTTTGTGCTGCAGAGAAAACAAACTTCTTACTAGTGAGGAATTAAAAATGGCTGTGGGACTTTATAAAGACGATTTTGAAGTGTCTAATCCATTGGGGACATCTAGAAAGAAACACAAAATGAGTGCAGTGTATTGGGTGATAGCCAATGTGCCATCTAAATACAGGTCTACCCTCCAGTCCATTCAACTTGCTCTATTATGTAAAGCCTCTGATATGAAAGAATATGGCTATGCCAAAATTCTTAATCCTTTAATCTTGTTTCCTTGGAACAAGATGGCATCTATATAGAGAAGTTAGGAGCATGTGTCTAAGGCACCGTTTCATATGTGGCTGCTGATAATTTGGGTGCGCATTCTTTTGCAGGATTCTGCGAGAGCTTTGGGGTAGACAAATTCGGTCGTTTCTGCATGGCATCAAAGATTCAGATCCAAGAACAAGAGGTAAGGTCTAATTCATTTGAATCACGAACTTAAGACACTCACAACAAACAGGAGGTAGAGCAAAATCCCACTTTGGCAAAAAAATATGGAAGGGCTGATGTGCACTTACTGACAGTCTTGAGCACTTTCATGTTGTTCGTGGCTATCCCCCTGACATCTTGCATGACCTTTTTGAAGGTGTTGTTCCTGTTGAATTATCTCTCTGCCTTTCAGAGATGATTGCGAAGAAATATTTCACACTGGAAACACTTAAACCATGTAATCAAAACATTTCCCCATAATTTTCATGACAAAACTGACTAGTCACAGCCAATTGCCCCAGGCTTCTCAACTAAAGGCACCATAGGTGGAAATGGCCATGAGAATTGGACTCTTATCAGATTGCTCCCACTACTCATTGGCCATAAAGGGCCTGAAGGTGACTATGCCTGGAATATACTGTTGCTCCTTAAAGATATTGTGGAATTGGCTGTAGCTACAGTACAGTACAAGACACACTGATGAGTCTTTACATTTCCTTGAGTGCAAAGTGTCAGAACATGGAACTGTTGCAAACTGTCATGGTGTGGATTTTGTTATTTTGGACTTTAGCTTTATTTTGATATCTGTTCTCCTGTGCTTAGGTTTTAGTTTGACTTTGACGTCCTGTTTCCCCTGTGTTGATTGTCTGCCCCTCCCCTAATGTGTTTCACCTGTGTCTCTGTCTATAATTACCCTGTGCTCCTCTCCTCTTGTTGCTGGTCCATTGTATTGTCTACTTCTGTTCCGTCCTGTTCCTGATTTTGTGTTCCTGGTTCTGTATTTTGGATTTTGAGTTTTGTTTTCACCTGGACATTTGTTTTATTAAATCATTATATTTTTTGCATTCCTGCGTTTGAGTCCTCCATCATCTCTCACCACGTGACAGAATGAACCAGCCACTCAAAGGACTCAGCGGAATGCGTATTTCCCCACACCTGCTCTCAGTTGATCAGCACTCAGGTTTTTATTTATTTTTGCTTTTTTCCTTTGCTCCACTTTTGACCACCTTATTCCTGGAACCACTGCCAGACATTGACCTCCGTCTGGGGTGGTTGTCTGCTGTGCCTGGCATTGTCATTGTCCGGGTTGGTCCCCTGTTCCCTCCTGACCCGTCAAGGAAAACGGCGACGCCCTGCATTGGATGTTCCCGTCTGTCTGCAGCCCTACGATGACCTCTCCTTCCCCTCACCTGTTGCCACCGCCAGACATTGATGTCCGTCTGGGGTGGTTCTGTTTTGTGTCTGGGTCACCGCCGGGCATTCGTCTTCGCCCGGGGTGTGCCAGTTTCCCTGTGGAAGGTCGTCACTGGGGTTCAGCTTCTGTTCCTGACTCGTTTGGACTTTGCTTCGGACCTGAGGCTTTCCCTGCTTCTATGCTGCCTCTGGTCCCTCCGCCGGACCTCCTCCGCCCTCCCTGGCGCGCGTTTGGGTTTTTTGGGACATCTGGGAGCTGTCCCTTGGAGGGGGGGTACTGTCATGGTGTGGATTTTATTTTTGTATTCGGTTTTATTTTGTGTGTCTATGTACCCAGTGCTTCTTTCCCCTTGTTGCTGGTTCATTGTCTTGTTCTTGTCTTGTTCCTGTCCTGTTTTCTTTGGATTTTCGAGTTTATTTTTATGCCTTGGACTTTGTTTTATTATAACCTTTATTTTTGCATTCCTGAGCCCTCCATCATCTCTCACCACGTGACAGCAAACTACATTCCCCAATGATAAAATGCGTCCAAAACACCACTTTATTGAGCACTAGTCCGAGATGATTATGGCATGTGGTCCACTGTCAGATGTCTGGACTATGCGTTTCGAGGGGAAACAAATTCTTCAAGCGGGTAGTTTGGAATGCTCATGACTTCAAAAAAGTGGCTCTTACACTGGCTGTCAAGCATCAGAAAATGATGGCTTACTGTTTGGACTCGAGTTCATTTTTTAAAGTCAGTTGAACTTGACAAGGTCACCACATCGCTGATCACTTCTTATGGGCTAGACACACGGGAGGCGACATCGCATCGCCTCCATTCATTTCAATGGGACGTGCGCGACATAGCGTCAATCGCTAGCGAGCCTCCTGCTCAGCGACGGGCGAAAAACGTGCGTGTGAAATCCTCCTGCTCGTGCATGTATCGTGCACGCGCAGGTCAGCGACGCGATCCCAGAAAGTTGAAATCGGCTCAACTTTTCGACGCTGTCGTCAAGCCGCATCGCGCCCCGTCTGTCATGTTATCTGAGCGACAGCGTTGAGTTTCGCTGATCGCTCTCATTTGTCGCCTCCCGTGTGTCTAGCCCATTATGGGCTAGACACACGGGAGGCGACATCGCATCGCCTCCATTCATTTCAATGGGACGTGCGCGACATAGCGTCAATCGCTAGCGAGCCTCCTGCTCAGCGACGGGCGAAAAACGTGCGTGTGAAATCCTCCCGCTCGTGCATGTATCGTGCACGCGCAGGTCAGCGACGCGATCCCAGAAAGTTGAAATCGGCTCAACTTTTCGACGCTGTCGTCAAGCCGCATCGCGCCCCGTCTGTCATGTTATCTGAGCGACAGCGTTGAGTTTCGCTGATCGCTCTCATTTGTCGCCTCCCGTGTGTCTAGCCCATTACCCTGAGGATGTCCAACAAGTTTTCCACAATAAAGAACCACAGCTTGCAACAGTTCTAGTTGCATCATCAGTCTCTGTGGATGGAATCAGATATTGTGCTGATGGTTCAAACTCCCACAGAGACAGAGCTGACGGTTACAGAGACCGTGACGGAAGAGATCGGCGGCAAGGGGAGAGCATTCAAGCTTGTAGGGGACAAGTGGACTGCGGGTTTTTATCTTCTTTTTAAAGGATCCTTTGTATATATAAAATTTGTATCCCCTTTTTTCCCCTTTTGCCTTTTTACTGATCGCACCCCCCTTAGACACTTTTTAACCTGTAACACTAGCCAGAAGTGGAGCCGTGAGACCACACGTGTCTTTTGTCCCCTAGCCGCATTTTCCTTCACTCCCACAGAGACAGATCGTGGAGCTGACGGTGGCGGAGGCTGTGATGGAGGAGATCGGCGGTGAGGAGAGAGCAGAGGGAAGAGAGGAGAGACCATTGGCCAACATACTCGGCCTCCTGCTTCATCAGCGCACGTTTTGTGGGGTTCACCCGATACGGTTGCCGGCGAATGGGACGCGCGTCCGTCACATCAGTGTCATGTGCCAATACATTAGTGCAACTGGGTACGTCCCCAAACATACATTTGTAATGCCCAATCAAAGATCAATGCCCAAATGCTTTAGTTGGGCAGGCAAGACCGTATGTGGCCTCACCTCACCGAAAAGTACTGTTTTTGTTACAGATAATAGCAGTTTTATTAATCTCACAGCAAGTATTGATTAGTCGCTTTATGAGGAGCATTCAAAAACAGATGAATAGATATAACTAAAATCTTTATCTTTAAGCTGGTGAACCTAATTTTCCAAAAAAGTATGTACTAATTGGTTGCTGTCACTTCTTTAGCTCAGATTTTCTAAAAGATTGTAAAGCGCTTGCATGACCATGGTCTGTGAAATGAATAATAATAATAAATTAAAGCCGCAAGCGGCATCAAACGGCCCTCGCCGCACCGCGCGCACCACCCCGCATCGCGCACACTACCCAGACACCAAGCCGCCCCGCATCAAGCCGCCCAGCACCAAGCCGCCCCGCATCAAGCCGCCCCGCATCAAGCCGCCCCACACCAAGCCGCCCCGCACCACGCTGCTCCGCATCAAGCCGCCCCGCACCAAGCCGCCCCGCATCAAGCCGCCCCGCATCAAGCCGCCCCGCACCAAGCCGCCCCGCATCAAGCCGCCCAGCATCAAGCCGCCCAGCACCAAGCCGCCCAGCACCAAGCCGCCCCGCACCAAGCCGCCCCGCATCAAGCCGCCCAGCACCAAGCCGCCCCGCATCAAGCCGCCCCGCATCAAGCCGCCCCGCATCAAGCCGCCCCGCACCAAGCCGCCCCGCATCAAGCCGCCCCGCACCAAGCCGCCCCGCATCAAGCCGCGCCGCATCAAGCCGCCCCGCACCAAGCCGCCCAGCATCAAGACGCCCCGCATGAAGCGGATCTGCCCCACGCACCAAGCCGCAACGCGCCGCTCCACAACGTCCCGCACTACGCGGCACCACACCGTACCACGCAGCACCGCGCAAAGGGAGTTTCAGAGGTCAAGTTTGTCGTAGAGCCATGAAATTCGGTACACATGTTCCTCAAGTCAAGATACGACCAAAATGTTATCATGGCTCCGCCCTCTGACAAACAGGAAGCCCATAAATTTCACTGCAAAATTGAAGAATGATCCGCAATCATTTTTATACATGTCGGTTGGAAAGCGACTCCTCCTCGGCCGTTTCACCGATTTGCCTCAAAATTGCTCCACAATGTCTAAACACATGTACCTTCAAAATGACCTCAGGGATTTTTGATCAGTGAAACGTTGTTTGAGCAGCAGAGCGGCAAAATGTGAATGTTTATTGGACGTTTTTCACAACATTCTATTTGCTCCCGTTTGCACATACAAATTCCGATTTGCACAGAACTTGAATCCATGGTTCAACTCTAGGGTCTAGGTCATTTGAAAGTGAAATAATTGAACTTGGCTCATTAACGCCCCCTACAGACTATTTCCGAGTTTTTAGTGTGAAAAACTGTACCGAATTTCATGGCTCTACGACAAACGACCTCTGAAACTCCCATTGGCTGTTGTAGGTGGCGCTGTTCTGGCATTTTTTGAGTCCCATAAAAATATACACCCAAATATCAAATTTTTCACCAGGTCTGATGTTTGGGCAAAATTTTACAACTTTTCATGCATGTTCAGGGGGTGAAATTAAGGCTCAAAGTTCAGAATTTGACATCTCTCGAGCAAAAACAATAGGCCCTTTCCCCGTTCGGGGCTCGGGCCTAATAAAGATAATATAGACTTTGCATGTTACATTTGGCGTGGATAGAATAACTCAGATTAGTACAAAAGACTAAGAGGTTAAGAGGTTAAAAATGTAGTTTGCAGGATGTAATTATGTACAATAAAAAGCAATTAAACAGTGGCAATCGCAGTGCAGGCTTTTAGTCCTCGTGCATTAGTGACTTAGTGACTTATTGTACAGTTGTAAAGATTACTTTCTTAATTTTCAGATAAAAATGTGAAAAAGAAAAGACCACCCTGAAACAATTACTCAAGTACTCAAAGTATGCTAACTAATTTCATGAATACTGCATGGGGCCACAGTGGCTCAGTTGGGAGAGCTTTGGCCTTTGGGCCTAATGTTTGTGGGTTTGATCCCTCCACAAGTCCTACTCCAACCGCTACCTCTCATGACTGCTGTCGTTGTGTCCTTGGGCAAGACACTTAAACCCACGTTGCCCGAAGCCCCTGCTGAAAGACCAAGGCTGTGTCACCGCTGACGGAGCAGCCATCTTCTTGTGGGCCCACCACCTGCAGAGGATCAGCAAGGGACTGGTGCAATGAGATTTGGATGGCAGCTCTCATTCCCACCCCATTGAATGAATGAATGAATGAATGAATGAATGAATGAATGAATGAATGAATGAATGAATGAATGTATGTTTGCATGCACGGTGGCTGAGTGGATAGCACTCTCGCTTCTCAGCAAAAAGGTTCTGGGTTCGAATCCTGGTCGCGACAGGGCCTTTCAGAGTGGAGTTTGCATGTTCTCCCAGTGTCCCTACCACTAAAAACATGTAAAATAGGTCTGGCATGTGCCTCCTGTACTGGCCCCGCTCCCATCTCTTTGTGGAGTGAGAAACAAATGCCCCCCAAAAAAATAACAATTGTAAACCCCTTGTGACTATGAAAGGCGGTATATAAATAAATAATACTGACTTAGATTAAAAAGTGTTGCCACATAAATATAAAAGATGTGTTGTACTTTGGATGGGAGACCACTGGGAACAAAATGGGATGCTGTGATGCAAATGTTGTTGTGTCCTTAGGCAAGGCACTTCACCCAGATGTCTCGTATGAATGCGTTGTGATGGAAGCAAAGCAACTAATCTGCTTTCAGTCTTCCCGAGGCGAGTCGTGCTGATGAACGCCACTGAGTGAAAAGTCCAAAATTGTGAGGATTATGTGAGATCCAACATACTTATACTTTTTATAACAGAGATTTTACGTTTGTGCTAAAACTGAAAAGAAGCTGAGACATACCAATGATGAAGGAACAATTTTCTTTTTTTTGCATGATGTGCCATTTAAGTTACTAAGTCATCTTTATTTGTATACTGCATTTCACAAAGGTCACACAAATCTGTTTTTGTTCACCGATATTGTTCCCCACACGCGGTGATGACAGAAGAGAGACGCCAGACTCACGGAAACCTCCAACCGTCTCCATCCATTCATTCATTACTTTCAGACTTATTGCACATGTGGTTTTTAGTGGTAGTGGAAACTGGAGCACCTGGAGGAAACCTACACAGAAAGAACCCACACCCTTTTATATTGTTCTATGTCGTGTCAACAGTCCTACATTCCAAGATTTAGGGGCTGTAAAACTAATTTTGAAATTCAAATATCTGGGCTGAACTACTGTTATCAGTTAAATAAGTATTGGAAAAGAGCAGGATTTCTTAATGCCTTTTGACAGATTAGGGCCATTTAATGATGAGTTGACATGAAAATCTTACATATTGTTACCTTAAGATTGTTTATTATTTCATTATTTCTATTTCATTAACTTTAATTAACTTAAAATAACGTTAATGCCAAAGAACATTCCTAGTTTTTGACTCGTATTACTTACAATGGCAATACAAATAATTAAGATTCTGATGTACTAAAATATCAGCGTCAGTATAAAATAAAATGTAAATTCTAACAGCTTTGCAAAACAACCATAACTATAAATGAGTGTTATTTGAATATTTCCGTCATAAACAAAGGACTGCTGGATTAAGAAACATGCATACAGTGTTTATTGCGACCAGGACACATTAAATAAAACTACAAAGTACTTCACTTATACAAAAGATAGATTATATCCCATTCACATACAGAAAACAATCAATAATTTACTGCATAAATTAAACATTTCACTAAACTATGTACAATTGAATGAAAACAATGATTTGGTCAAAAGCACAACTCATGATTTAGTGTGATTGTGAAGTCAGTTTAGGGGACTGTTTGCAAAAGTCTCCCAAAACATGGTATAGGCAGGACTGGATTATTTCTGAGTTTACATAATTTACTGTACAAGGTTTTTTCCAAAATTGCTTCCTGCTCAGAGCTACACCGTCAGATCAACTTGCATTTCTCATCGCTCTCTGAGAATAATTGTTAATTTTTTTTCTTCACCCCACGCCTGGTCCTGCCATCTTTCTTTGCAAAATCTGATTGGAATGACAAATAGACATTTTTTTTTCCTTAAGTGCTTGGGCATGGTATAAGTACATATGTTACAATTATAGTTAATAGTGGTTTTCAGACATATTGCGTCGTGTAAGGTTGAAAACAACTTAAGTGCGCAATCCTTTCCCAAAATGTTATTCTTGAGCCTGGATAACATATATATACGTATACCCAAATGCTAATTGTTGTTGACTGCGGGACAGATGTGTTTACCCTTGTGCGGAATACAACAGTTCCCTTTATTTATTTTTTATCCGTGATGCACAATTACTATGCGGCTGGTACGCTGGCTGAATTCTGACCTTTCTGAAGTAGTTTAAAAGTCACAGCATCGAGGAGAGCGAGGCCTGTTGTTACGCCGGGCAAGTTTTGTCACGACACCGCTGATAATTCCAATTGTAAAAGGTTAAGGGATTGCTTGCTAGTTTTGAAACAAGTTTTTTTATTAAAGATGAAAATGACTATTGAAATTGATAAATGGTATGTCTTTGTAGAAGTATTGCTCTAAACTGCAATGAGTGATAAGTTGATAAATGAAAACTAATAAATTACTCAAATTTGGCATAATTTTGACAGCCTTGGAATCAGATTTGCCAATGGGACAAGCAAACTGATCTTGTTTTAGAAATATACAATACATGTCTCACTTGGAATGAGAAAACATTCCAAGCAACAGTTCTTGAAATAAGGCTTAATGGATTTGTCCCATTGGCAAATCTTGTTTTGACCTTATTACCGTATATTTGATCATTTTTTGCGGCTGGCTGTATTTATACCTCAAAGGCATCACATGGTAATTGGATCAAGAGATTAGGCATCATCCTACTTTAACAGTAAAATGATTAAAGCTGGGGTAGCTAGTTTTTGTTAATAAATCCATATTAGGAGTCTTGTGACTGAGAAAGCCAAACTAGACCACAAAGCAGACCACAACATGCGGTCTCATCATCATTAGAAAACATATATTTTGCATAACTTTTCGACTACTCTTTGGGCTGGCAGCTGATTGGCTGAATGAGGGTGGTCCTCTCTTGTTCACGTTTCTGACCGAATAAGCTGATCTAAAGATGTGCAAAAATACATGCTTGTGAAAACTACTGATAGAACCAAACTGTTTTGAGAGCCAGAAACTAGTGATAGGGATTATTTGCGTATTTTTAGTTTTAAAATGAGGTACCCATGCTTTATGCAAATTAATTATTTTTCATAGTTTGGTTTCATAGTGAATTTAACCTGTTATAATTTAATTTTAAGTGTTAATGTAGGTTTAAAGTAGTTAATTGACTCATTTGAGAAAAATAAACATTACATTTTCTTTTTCAATATCAAAATGCAACGTAGCAGCTTAACAACAGGCCTCTCATAGTTCCTCAATGAGTTTGAGATGAATCATAAGCTGTGGGTGCCGTAGCCAGTTCAAAAGACAATTGCATCCCACATCGGAGGAGAAGCCCGTATGACACACACCGCTCGGCCTTTTCTTTAGTCGAGACACAAAATGAAAGAGGCTCACATAAATATCATGATTCCCACACTGAATGACATAATGAACAACAACATAATGTGCCCCCTTGTAATCAGAGAACAGCCAAATGTGAACAATATGCTCAGTAAACGTCCCAGACTATGCAGACAGAAGAAATAACAGCCATTGTATAACACGCTGAGATGGAACAGTCAAGCCCGTGTGCTCCATATCAACTTTCCATCCGTGGCAAATGCTTTATTCTGGATTTATGCGTAAAGGTGGGTAGACAGGTATGCTAAAATATACTAAATAATTGACTTTTTCCTTAAGTAGAAGTGAAAAAGTGGAAGCTCAAAGATAAGGTATTACTCTACAAACCTTTTGAAGTGGATGTAAGTTAGCAGACAAATGAAACGAAAAGCCAAACGGAGATCATATTTTTGAACAATAAAAAATGTGAATCTTTTTGTCACTTACAGGTAAAACTATGGTTCAAAAGTTCACGTAGTTTTGTAATTAAAATTGTGAAACCATGACACAGACTCATTACAGACACAGTGACACATGCCAAGCCTTTTCACAAGCTGTCAGCCAATTATCCACATTATGACCAATACCGGGTTGATTCTTCTCACTTGTGTGTAATGAGTCAATATTACTTTCACAATTTGAGTTGCGACATACGGAGCCACCTGCATGTGACAGCCAAATATTGTCAGACCTCTGAACCTAAGCGGGGCAGAGGCTGGTTAGTTCGATGGGAGACCTCTAGGGGCAGCTAGTTCCTTGTCTGAATCTGGTGTGTGCGAGAATGATTGGTGGTGGTTGGAGAGGCTGAAGGCACGTACTGCTTGCCTCGCTTCTGCCAGTATTCCCCAGGGCAGCTGTGGCTATGGTAGTACCTTCTCACCATTGTGTATGCCGGGAAAGAATAATGCCATGAGAAGCATCTTTGAGTGTCCAAATAAGTGCAATATAAAGAAACCTATGCATAATTAAATGGGCTTTTGCACAATATTCCAATTATTATCTGTGTTTCACCTGTATAGAATCGAAATCCCCACAGTGGAAATAGTAACCAAACTTGTACTTAATATTATCAGTGCCCTCAACCTGTTTGTATCCATCAAAAAGTTGCTGCATGTCTAAAATATTCCACATTTGCACTTGGGTAAAGGCCTATTCTCAGATCTGAATGCCACCCAACTACTGTAAGAAGAGAAAGAGGACTTGTATCTGTAATTAAAAGTATCTAAAATGACATATCCCTCAAGTATATTTTTCTGACTATACTTGCTACCCACCTTTGCCTCCTTGATATAAATATTTGCCATTCACTTCTGCCGTATTGTGACTCCTCTCTGGGATTTTGAAGTGCTCGCTCTCCTGAGGAACCTTGGATACACAAACAGATGTGAGCCTTGCAACACAGGTCCTTAAGGCACTTACATGAACACCATCAAACCGGAAAGCCACCCACTCACGAGCCAGCGTACACGGCTCTCAGATCAACCACAGCCAATCCCTAAATGGCACTTAGCTTGTCTGAAATTTGCACCACCCGTCTTTCCGACATAACTACCTCTCCTTTTGGATCTGCACAAGCGCCGGGTGAAGAGTGGGCGAACTCCTTGCCTCAGATCTTTTATAGACCAGGATTTATCCCCCCAAAGTTCTGCAGTTTCTACCTTTCTGAGCGATTCTTCTTTCTCTGAGAGCTCACGTCCCTCTTGACAGAAAAGTACACGTTTCTTTGGATGGAAAATGTTTGGTTTTTTTGGTCCGTATGAGGCAGTTATGTGTGTTTTTGTTGACTAGTGAACTGCAGGTAGCATTAGCAGAACATACAGTAAAGTCTTGTCCCTCAAACAAAGTGCCAAAAGTCTTGAAGGATGGCGTTTTTGTAGTAAACCAAACTACAAACCCCTTGTGATCGAAATTTTTTTTCTTGCGAGTCTATTGCACGGGATACCCCTCGTGTCCTCTCTGCTTCGGCGCGACCTCTCTGGCCGTAATGCTGTTCCTTTGCCACGCGCTTTTGTCAGTTTTTTCTCATCAGAGTTACTGCATTTCCATCCCTGGCGTTTTTTGGCGTACACAAAAGTGAGTTGAAGTGATTAGTAGCTTCTTTTATGAGCCGCAGTGGCGCTAGTTGCCCACCAGAGGGCTCAGGTCTCCGTGGTGGTTCTTGAGTTTCTTTTTGAACAGGGAGATGGTGGAGGGCTGGTACAGGATGATCCAAGGTTCCGAGGAGGTGGTGCTTTGACTGCAGCTGTCCGAACCGCTGACCGTAGGGATGCTGGGAGCCCTGAGATACACAAAAAACAGCTTTGATCAGAATGAGAAGGCGAAAAAGACAGAAAAAAAAGCCAAGACGAGAAAAATAGAGGAGCAGATACAGTAGGGATGGGTCATAACAAATAGTATGTGTTTGCTGATAAATTTGATCGTAAAAAATGTAATAGTCCCAAGAGGAGAGCCAGAGGAGAGTGGCGTGTTCCAAGATTTTGTCAACAATCTTTCTTATATCGAGCAATTAGCCTTTGGGACAGGCTTCCAAATGACGTCATTGCATGTAAAAACTATAACATGTTCACACACCTGACTAAGCAGTAGTTACTCTCACACAAAACCCATACAAACTGAGGAAGTGTGTGCGTATGCCTGTGCATATGTGTGTATGCATATGAGAGACATTGTGTGTGATTTTAGTTTTATAGTATTTTAAATTGAATATGGCCGATTGTGGTATCGTAAATTTTTGGCAATTTGGTGTTTTATTATAATAATTGTCATTGTTTTTTATCATTGCATTTCTTTGATTCTCTGATCTGTGTTGGCGAATTCAACAGTTTTGTGAAGTCCACCTAGATAATTACTGGTCTCATTGTATCATTTAGGGCTATACAAAAACAAATTGAAATGAATTAAATGGGATTGACCTGTCCAGGGACTACAAATTTAAAAAAAATTGCTAAAAACCATGACATACTTTTATTATATAAGACTAACATGGATTATGCATTATCCCTGCATTCTATTCAATTCAATCACCCGTGATTTTGTTCTATTTCCCCAAACTATCAGTTATTTAAATACATAACAAACAGCATTACATTACACAACCCCTTTTTGACGTTGATAATGCAAAACACGGAACTTTATGATATACCGATTGAATTTTAGCGATGTCATACTGCGGAAATGCCATCCTATAGTCCTAATAGAGAGAACGCTGAAATAAAAGTGCCACAAAGGGAGCGCCCAAAGGTGATAAGACAATAAAGAGGAGGCTTAAGGAACAAAAGTGCTCTACAAAGGCAGAAACTGGTCCATGTGCTGCAGTGATTCATTCATGCTTTGCCAGCTGCACTCCAAACACCAGCGGCCAGAAAGGTTCCCTTTTGAATTTGATACGACTCTCATAAGAATCCTGTGTCGGGCTGTAACTAACAATTATTTTACATATAGATTAGTGAAGCAATTGTTCTTCCAATTAGGTGTTTGGTCGAGCTAAATAAGCCGTGGTGAATGGACCAAAGCAACAAGTGCGTCACTGGGGTTTTTAAATCACAATGAGATTAAATGATTGAAATGTGTAACTGGGACTGAGACAACATGGCTGGAGAAGCTTCCTGATGTAGAATATTTACATAGACCTGCTGTGTCTATGTCATTAAACCTCTTCTCTCAGATTGTGGCATCTTTTTTTGAACCGGTCAACAAATATTCCAATACAAAATTAGTTGATGGTTTCTTCAATAATTAGCTGCAAATAATCAACTGGCATCTCACTTGGTTTTAGAAAAAAAAACAAAACAAAAAAACCCACAAACAACTTATTATTTTTGTTATTAGTGCTCCTGCATCTTAGAAAATCCCCCCAAAAATAAAAAAATATAGATTGCTTTCTTTAAGGCGTGAACATTAAAGGATGGAGGGCGACAGTAGCTCAGTTGGTAGAGCATCGGCCTTTGGGTCATAGGTTCAAATCCACCACAAGACCTACTTCATGACTCCCACTGATGACTGCTTTTGTTGTGTCCTCGGGCAAGACACTTTCTCCCACTTTGCCCAAAGCCCCCACTGAGAGATCAAGGCTCCTGTGGACTCACCACCTGCAGGAGGATCAGTGAGGCGCTGACTGCCCCCCGACCCAGAAATGAATTAAGGGATGGACATTAAAGGGTTAAACATTTGCCAAAAAACTAAAACTATCACAATTTGGGCTCTGGAATTAATAGTTATACTGGGATGAGAACCTATCCCGGTATGGAATTAATCAAGACACAATTACAGAGCGTTTATTATTGTCCAGCTCTCACTGACAGACTGAACGAAAAACGGTAGCTTTTCTGATGTACGACTTTTAACTTTTTCAGCACTTTGAGTTGCCTTGTGTATGACTTGCGCTATACAAATAAACTTGCCTTGCCCTAATTTCTTATTTCTCTAGATATGTGTGATTTACAGATTCCAAATGACTTCCAAATGACCAGCAAACGTACTTGACCGTGATGTGCAGCAGGAGCTTGGCGATCATGGCGATGACGGTGAGGACCAGCAGCGCGGCCAGAGCGTAGATGGTCCACACTGCAAACACAACACAAACACACTTCCTCAGTTAAAAAAAAAACACACACACAACACCAATCTCTTCACTACACAGAGGAAATAATGAAAGAAAGAATTAGCCGGCTACAAATGGTCCGAGCACAAGCGCACCTGTTAGTGGAATTTGGCAAGAAAGATGTTGGGAAATGGTGATGCATTCGAAAAGCACATCTGGTCCTTTTCAGTTGAGAAATGCATCTGATAAATAGCTCTCTGACAAAGAAAGTTGTGAGTTATTTGTGCAGACTTTGAATACAAAGAAAAGCCTGGGTTTAAATCAGGATCTATCATTTTGAATTATCAAAGGTGGTCAGATCTGGGATAATCTATTGCAAATAAAAAGCATGTGTTAAAGAGCTGGACATTTGGAGAAATATATGATTATACATTATACTGAGAGAGATAGAGAATATAATAATACAAATATTGATCTATACAGCGAAATCATGCTACATATTCTTGCCATAATGCACAGCTCTGGTAAAAGATATTGCTTTACAAAGGATAATAATAATTGACTGTCCCTGAAACCTTCTGCTAGGCTACTTACATTTTGTGAATTATGTCAAATCAACAAATTTAATTTCAAACTTGTATCTGAGATGAACACATTTTGTCAAATTGCAACAACAGCGCTCTGAATACAAAGGTTCTCTTCACACTTGTTGGTCTGCACTGCAAAAAATTATAAAATATGAGGCAGAAAAAAGCTTGAATTGTGAATTGAGTGGTTTTTATCTTAATTTGTTTACATTCTGAAAACAAGATTTGGAAGTGGAGCAAGCCTTTTAGTCTTATTTAAAGAACTGTTATCATCTCATTCCAAGGGAGACATGTTTTTTATCTATTTAAAACAAGATCGTTGTGCCTTGTCCCATTGGCGAATATTGTCATGAGGCAATCAACATATGCTCACATTAAGATACAGTACATTTAGCCACATTTTCGCATCTTTTAACTTATTTTTTTATCACTTTTAGCAGTGTTTTAACAGGACCAAGTTTGGTTCACTTGGGGCGGGTTCAAAAGTGACCAGTGGACACATGTTTACTAGTTTGGTGGTTTTACATCCACCAATAAAACATTTTTCCCTGAAAGAACCAGAATGTTGTGACCTCAAACTCATAATAATTGCATTTTTCATGACCTCTAAGGAGAAAATTAACACAAATTGTGCTGTACTTATGAAAGCGATGCATCATGGAGACTTTTCGGTTAAAACACAAACGTTCAGCTTGGACCATGGCAGAAAGGGGAATACGTTTTTTGCAGATAGTCAAAGACATCCCTGACCAGACCAGAACATGCCAGAGGGGAGCAGGAGAGAGCAGGCACAGGGGGGGACACATACTAGCGCTGTGGCCGGTGGTCTGGGAGCGTCCAGCCCACTGACCTGGCATGTTGTGCTCTTGTTTCCCGGGGCTGGACGTGATGACATAGAGGATCTGAGAGGAGCGCCCCCCGGTGGTGCCGTTAGAGCGCTCCGTCACGGCCCCTGCCAGCTGGGGGCCCGTCGTACTGGAAATGTCCTCCCCGTCCTCCTCTGAGTCCACTCTGTCCGGGCCTTGCAGGGCTGGAGGACAAAAAATATATATATAAATACAGATTTTGGATCAGTCTAAAGTTAAGTTTATTTTGGCAGTGAGTCACAAAGTGTATTTATAAAGCATTTGAATACAGATCATGTTAAAAAACCACTCTGGATTGGGATTATCATTGAGATGGGCATAGATTTCAGCAGCTGTTTGTGTTTTGGTCTGTCTCATCTCATGCGCTATACATTTTTGTATACCACCAAGCATAGTTTTTTCATCTGTACACAATACTCAACAACCAATACTCAACATTATAACAAATAAAAGCTTGAAATATCTCGCTTCACATGTAATGACTCAGTTATATTTTATAATAAATATAAAATGGTAAAATAAGTATCAAGGGTAGACAATGCTAGGGGCCTGCTCTATCCTTATGCTACCAACAGAGGGAGGCAACACATTTGCTTTCCTTGCATTTTTTTTTTTTCTGAAGTTGAAAATTACCAGCTGCAAACACAGATATTTCATTTGAGAAATTACCCAAACTAGTTTAGGGGCAACAATTTTGTTTTGAAAATGCTCTGAGAATGTTGTCATAATCGTGTGCAATGACATCTCACTATCATCTTATCGAGACAGGAGCTTTAGACAGAAGGAGCAAAAGTTCCTAAAATTTGCATGGATGGATCTAAATACAACTCCAGGTCTTTTTTTTTACGATGATTAACAATGTTGCAACACAATTTTGCAGTCTCCTTTAAGTCACTGCAGCCCACTCATACAGCCACAGTCACTATAAGGTCAAATATTCAAACATATCTAGTTCATATGTACAACTAAATCCCCTCTTTACGACAACTCAATCTGGATTCATTTTACAAAAAACATAAACTAAAGTCTCAGACGTTCACATGTTTCATCTTTATACTTCACTCTGTTATATGGCATTTGTCAAATCCAGTGCACTGCGTGGTTCACAGTGGGACGATGTTTCCCCCTGAGCCATTTCAGCAGCAGCCTCACACTAATGCGGTTCAAACCTCCGTCTTCAATTTGTAAAACGCGACAGTTGTATTTGTGTTCGATGCGGCGATGACGGATGGCGTGCAGTGAAACCGAAGTCCCGCGGCGGCCATGTTGTTTGTAGTTTGGACACGGATCACTTAGCGGGGCTGTTACTGTGGCTAGAGTCACCGCGTGCAGTCATGGATCCGCCGTGTTGATGTGCACGTTGAAAAGCCAGATATACAAAGAACCGCCGGCGAGTGCGTAATACTGCGCCAAAACAGCTGAAGTTGCAGAAACATCTGGGCGAGCTGTAAACATGTGGTGGCGAAGGCTTCTCCAGACACTGCGGCAAAAGTGTTGGCAATAAATTCTGTTTGTTTTAACCTGAACACATGACCAGACACGGCTGGTTTACGTGCACACGAGGAAGGATTTAAAAACGAGGGGTGATAGGGTTACAGTTGTGTGTGTATACTGTATGGAGTTGATCACTAACAGATCAAAGGTGATGCCAGTAACTTAAATGTTATTTCACTTTTAAAATAATGACCATGGGAAACTGAACCATTATGCACAGCAAGTATTCTTCAACAGTAATATATTTAATAAAGTCAAGCCCCTTGGCATAACTTTGACCAGTAAAATTTGCTGGAGGAGACTAGATTAACCAATGACAAGGCGCTTCAGGGATTTGATTTAATTTCAACCAATCAGGAAGCTGCGGTGGTCTAATCAGCGCCCGTCACTTTCTCTTGTGCCCCAATTTGTAAATGAGTAACAACAAAAGTAAAAGAAAACAACAATTATTTTCTATTTCCCCATCTCTACACACTGTTTCTTATGAGGCGGGAAAAAATCTCATATTTTTCTGCACTTTATTTTCTTATTTCAATAATTATAGAACTTTTTTGTATATGTGGAAACCCCCAATTTTTATCTGAAACTAGTTATTTAAAAAGCTGCTCTCTTTCATAGTTAAAATCATTGGATTGATCTGCCATCTTCTGCTACAACCCCATTATTATTATAAAGTCTCAACATTGTGCTAGTAGCTATGTATCAAATGGCTGCATGACACTGATAAATTATTATTGTATAAAATATTAGGAAAAACTTGAACTTTGCCCTTTGTGTCTTGAATGCCTCCAATATTACATCAGTGACTTTGAATATTTAAAGTTTAAAAAGAAGCACTATATGCCACTTTTAATCTTAGAACTTTGTAGTTACTATTTATGGCCCCAGCATATACTTCCTAAACATAGACCTCTTCATTCCTTGATTTTATCCAAGTAGGAAAAGCATGAAGAGTTGAACTGGCTGTGCTTTCTGTTTAGGAGCAGAGACTAGAGCAGGGGCCGGTCTGCTACAGTCTGATAACAGCCAGTTCTAAGAAAAATACATTTAAATATGCAGCGTCACCCCAGGCTGGGAGACATTGGCTGGCAAGCGGAAAGAAAAGGGCTGGCCACTGGTGTGACAAGAGCCAGACTGAAGCTAAAGCCAGTGTCCACTAAAGACCGGCCCTCAGAGCAGCGGACACCAGACCTGTACCTCTTTACCATTTCATCTTCACTACAGTCTCTTTTTTACCTTGTTTTCTTCAAATCTTATCGTGAATTTTTGATACTGTTCAGCACTTTGGTATGCTTCAGCTTGTGTTATTTATGTTAAACCTTGGGGCATCTGGGAGATTTTTATTTGAAACCCACAAAAGGAATAAAAAGGGAATAAACAGAGGAAATGTAACTGAAGACTGATGAGACAATTTCTATAGCCATTTAACGGGGCATTAGGTAACTCTTTATGGATATTTTTGAGTATAGTCTCCCAGCGGCTGTATGAGTGGTCGGTAAATTAAAGTGCATTTACTTTTCATAACAGTGGTCTTTAGGGTTTATAGAAAAACAATATAAGAGTTGATTCTAGAGCATTGATTAATACATGCTGAGTTAATGGTTAATAACAATAACTGAATCATATCAGTGGCCACTAAATGTGGTCTTAGGGGATGGATTTGACCCACGGGCCAGAGTGTGCATGTTTAGCGATAATGGACATTTATTAACACTTATGGACATTGGTCATCTGCCCCTTATGGACAAAACCATGTGTTATCTGTTTTATTTCTTGTGTTGGATCTGTTTGATTCTCTGATCTGTGTTGGTGAATTCAACGGTTGTGTTAAAGATGCAGTCAGTGATTTTTTTCCAGACGCCTTTTTTTAAATATTGTCCCTAAACCCTAAAAGTAGTCAAGTTATCATGTGTTTTCAAATAGTAATGGAATTGACCAGAGGCCTATAGTTTCCAAAAAATAATGAAAAATATTTTTGAGCAGACCGATAAAAATAAACCAATGGGATTCGTTCATCCCCAACGATGCGTTTAACCCCTTCACCCTCTTCCTGTTTCTTGCAAGTGCGCGCACCTGAGCTATCGGATTTTCTATAACCTAAAAGGGCTAAACAGAAAATACCAATTTCACGTTTGCCACCCACTCTCCCTGTTGTGACAAAGAAAAGAAAATGCTGGATGTTTGGTTTGGTGGAGAGGCGAGGGGAGGGAGGGAGTGGTTTCGAGTTGGTGCTACGGCTCAGCTAACAAAATCGCTTACTGCACCTTTAAGTCCTCCGAGATGTTGTGATTTAGGGCTAGACAAGAAGACATTGAGTTGAATTAGCAGCACAAAATACACAATGATTCCAACATTATCTACATCTCTACTGGTGTCTGACCTTGATAAAGCAGGGCAAATCCTTGGGCCTGGTTGGTGCGATCCGAGAAGAAGTACAAGATGACAAAGTCCCCGGTGATGTTGACCAGCTCCCGCGGAGGGTTGAGCCAGTCAAACCTCGCCAACACCTGGTTTGTGTACCCGTCCAACATCTCCACCATGTCCGTCTGGTCCGAGATGTCGAAGAAGGTGAAGTTGAAGAGCAGGGCGGCGGCTCCGGGCACCTGTACGGTCCAGTAGCACACTCGGCCCGCGTTGTACTTGTCTGGGAAGTCAGGCGAGTAGATCACCCCAGAGGGAGAGGAGTAGTTTCCACCGCAGGCCCCCACTCGAGCTGCGGGAGAGAGTGTCACGCAAGTGTGAAATTAGAAAATGCTGCAGGCTGCTATTATAGAGCCAGTGATCAGGGCCTGTGCTTCTCTGGAATCAGTGGGAATTTTTCTATGACATTAAAGCACGACATACAGCGTTCCTGGCACGCCATCTGCAAACTTGTATCCATTAGAGAGACTGTTTCCTTTTTATGTATTTTAATTTGCAATGTTGGTCAAATAATTTAACATCCATGAAAACAAACAGATGGCAGACTCCTGAGAAAAGATACAAGTCAGATCTGTGGAGAGACAAAGAGTAATTGCAAGAATGTAGGTACTCTAATATCATTTTTGTTATTATATTTATTCTATATTTGACCTGCATGGTTCGTAATGGATGATCTGGGGCTGCGTACGTTAAGAGCGATCACATTTCAGGTACGTCCGAATTGAACGCACTTCCTGCTTGTGTGCAGTAGACCAATCTGCATTTATGATCCACCTCAAATCCCGCTCTCCTTCCTTCAATTCCCCAAATAACAGGGGAGTCAAACTGGTCCTCAAAGGGACAATGTGGCTGCAGGTTTTCATTCCAAACAAGCAGGAGCACACCAGACTCCACTCAGTGTTCCTACTTGGTTGGAATATAAATCAGAAGTCACGCTGGCCCTTTGAGGACCGGTTTGACACCACAGTCATATAAGGACATGCAAAGCGACTTTCAGAAAACTATCTATTGTAGACTGATTTACAGATTCATGTGTTTGAGAAATGATTTTTATTATTATCATCATTATTCATTTTTATTTATATTTTTTAACAATCCAGCAAGTACAACAGTAATACATTCCATGAATAAAAAGTGGATTGAATTGGGGACTGCACACAAATATGAATTCTGCAGTTTGCCCAGATCTTATTTAGACTCACTAAAAACACGAACATTTCCGACCACCGTACATTATTAAACCATGTACGTATTAAAATGGCATAATTAACAGCATAAAAATGCACTTTGAGTTGAGTTTAATCCTGGTTTTATCCACTGCAGGCACTTTTTATCACCTTGTTGACCTTTCTGAGGGTTTCCGAATCCAGCCGCAGTTTTAATGACAGGTGTGAAAAATGCCAGCAGCTCTGAGTGTCCTCATCTCACTCCCTATAAAGTTTACAGGAACACCCAAAACACTGCGCCTTTCACCTGTGCGGCTCTTTATGGTTCTTACCTTAGGGATCAGAGCAAAGGACACGGATTCAATTCAAGTTTCTATTCAAGGGGAAGAGAGTCAAAATAGGAAATAGGTTTGAGTGTGTGCCCACTTGTGCCACACACACTGTAAGAAGTGCAGCAGACCATGCTTTGATGTAACATATTTTTAAGTGGCAATATGTAAGATTGTCATGTCAAGTCATCATTAAATGGCCCTGAGCTGTCAAAAGGTACTAAAAAACCATGCTCTTTTCCAAAACGTCTTTTATTGATGACATAAGTTCAGCCGAGATTTTTTAATTTCAAAATTAGTTTTACAGCCCCTAAATCTTGTTATTATTTTCATTTCGATGTCTCGCTCTACACCGTTTCACTAATCAAAAAGTTTGTGATCCGGGGGGCCAGAACTCACTGCGTCGAGCTAATCTCACTGGTAAAGTAACATGTGGCTGCAGAACTAAAAAGGTCTTGAAAAAACAAGGAATAAAATGAGGATTTCTATCAGGGATGGCTTTGAGAAAAAGGTGTTGGTTATAGATTTGTTGTTGACAAAACTCTTGTATATTCAGCTAATATGGTCCCAGCTGGATTCGTCTGCATCTCTGGCAACCTGAGTCAAGGAGAGTAGAGGGAGAGGTTGAAGCACCACTTTCGGACAGATTTTTACCTACTGCTCCTTTAAGTAATCACTTTATACTTAGTTTTTCATTATTTCATATTTTTGGTTGACAAATAAGTACTGTATAACGTTATCATAGCACCCTATACAATACAGGACAAGCTAAGGAAACAATCTCATTCCGTTTGAGTCTAACATTTTAATTTAGGTCAAAGAAAACTACAAGAATATCAAAAAAAAATAAAAAATAGTATTATCTAAAATCTATCATTTTGATCTGACTGGTGTCTTGACGTCTTGCATTGAGAAATATTCTGTTCATGAAGTAAGATCCTTTGAATTATCTTTTGTGGGCGTTGAAATCTCAAACCATTTTTCTGAAGTCTGAATGTCAATGATAAGCTTGGGTGCATCTGATCGAGACATCTAAAGCGCGTGGCTCGGAGCAAACGTTCTGAGAGGAAGAAAAAAATACATTAATGTGGATTCGAAGTAGATCGATTTAATACGAATTAATGAATGAATTAATTATGAATACACTTGACTCAACAGGCTCAGAGAGAAGAGATTTTATCATCAGTCAGAAAAGTCACATGGGGATTCTGTGTATGGTTTTGGTTCTGTGTGTAAATGTCTTCAAGTGGGATGATCTTTATCTGGGCCAAACTAAAAGTATCTAATTTCATACCTACAGGCGTTTTCTCAGCAAAAAATCAATTTATGATAATAACAATTACCATATATGAATTTAATCATAATAGTAAGTTGGAGCCCTGAGATTGAAAGCAACGCTTATTATTAGACCCAAGTTTTTTCGCTAATTTTATTTTCGACGTACAAATTTGGGTGCATTTTATTCATGTGACTGCATTTTCAATTCCGACCAAAAAGTCAGTACTCTTTCCATGTTTGCGAAGAACATATTTTGAGTGTTAGTGGTTAGCAATCATTAGTCATTAATTGTCAAACAAACATGTTTTCTATTTTCAATTTGTAACCTCACTGAGTCATTCTGGAGGATCTGAAATGGGCAAGTTATGCAAGGCAGCACAGGAATTTATGCGAACTGGAAGAATGGGCAGCTTTACCATCAGAGATAATTAAAAACCACATTCACAAATACCACAAAAGTTGTTTTTGATGTTATTGGGAAAACCCACACTATTGAGAACTTCCTATCAACATCACTTGAGTTGCTTCACACAACCAATAACAAAGAGAGAAAATAATCTATAATAGTTTGATATTATTAATAATCTCCTGCCGAAACATCTCGACACAGCCAACTAAAAATACAAAACAATATAATTCAAAATAATATAATACAGGTCAGTGAAAACATAATTACTTTTAACTCCTTATCGGCCGCTCTAAGCTAACACTACTGATGCATCTATAGTTCACGTATTGTAGATGAATGTTTATTTAGGTCATAATATCAAAACAAAATCTATAAAGGGGGACTTTTTAACATCTATTCATCTGAAAAATAGCTGTTCTGGCTAATTCTGGTACATTTACGGCAATGTTTATGAATGTACCTCATCAATAATATATAAAAAAGTATCTTGTTTTTTAAAAAATTACACAACATTTAAAAAGCAGGATTACTATTGCCTCAACACATCATCAGTAGGGTACAACTAACCTATCTCGCAACAATACAAAAAATCAAATCGATCGCAAAATAGTTTTTCTAGCACACCCATCATACTCCATTCAAACCATGTTGTGTTGTGTTGTGTGCCTGTTTCCCCGTGTCCATGCGGTGCATATTTAGCACTCACTGTCAAAGACGATGACCCATCCGTCGCCCCCGCACGGCTGGTTGTGGTTCCCGAAGCAGACGTGGTTGCACTCCATGCCAGGTGACTCCCCGCTCTCCTGAAGCTCCACCTCGTTGCCGCAGAAACAGGCATATCCCGACTCCATCCCGGCCAACTGCGGAGGCAAACCAAATTCCCACAAAGCTCGTCAATGTCCTCCTATGAGAAAATGTCTCAGCAGCGTGATATAATACGGTTTATTCCCGTCCTGTTTGCTCACATAAGGATAAAAAAGGCAGGAACGTTTAGACTCCGCAGTCAAATGAAAAGGATTTATGAGAGATGTTTTTTTGAATTGTGTAAATAGTTGGATGTGGAAGTTTGGTTTGTGAGAATGGGATTGTGCATGTTGTTTTCATTATTATATAAGATAGACCACAAGCTGCCAGCGATTTGTGGCAATGCAAAATAAAAATAAAAAGGAAAAAAAACACAAAAATAAAATCTTTGAATTCCAGTGGTATATGCCCTACTACGGAAAAGATCATAGACACAATCTCTCTTGTTTTGACCTACAACATGAACAGTTTGTCATCAGTAAAGGCGATGTTGTGCCTTGCGAATAGGATTTTTTAGATTTAGATGGATGCATAAATCATATATTCTCCACACTTGACTTGAGGGTAACACAAATGGCACGTTCCTAGAAGAGTTGGTGTAGGAATGTGAACCGTCAAATAGCGTTATGTATCACGACCTCGCCGCCATCTCAAAAGAGCCATTGTCCTTATTTGATAATGACACTATTGTGACATTTTTGAGCCTGAAATGAATTGACACCACTGGAGGTGTTATACAATTCCCCACGCTCTGCTCTTTATGTCAGAGAGCTAAATGCCCCTGCTCACCCCCACTCACCAAATACACTTTTCTACTGTTAGTTATTTAAATATGAAACTAATCAAAGAACCTGACATGTGCAGTTGGGAAACACTTCCCTAAGTCCCATTCCATTTCACCACTGAACCAACTTTCCGTCACATGTTTCCGTCACACTATGAATCATCAGTGGTGTTTTTGGAGAGCGGGACCAAAACAAAGTCCTCAACAGGAAATATTTGGAGTTTAATCAAAAATGGTCAAATATGCAGTAATAATTGCCTGAATCAAATGTTTTCTATCTTAATTTAAGTACATTCTGTCTTAAAACAAGATATTTAGTCTTATTTCAAGAACTCTGGCTTTATTTTTTCAATCTTGTTTTGTATCTTTCCAAAACAAGATAATTTTGCTTGTCCCATTGACAAATCTTGTTTTAGGGCAGTCACAATGTGCTCAAATTTAGATAAATGTTTACCAAACTGGAGCAATTTTCATCACTTTTTGCAGTGTGCTACTTACTTTGGCAAGGACAACTCTGTCTCTGTCTTTCTCTCTCTCTCTCTGTCTCGTTCTCTCTCACCTGGCTCACACTAGATGGATGTGTGTTGTCCTCAGAATTGAGTTCTACAAGAGTTTATGAACTCACAAATATTGCAAGAATTCCTCTGCAGGGCAAGGTTCACAAGCGCTCATAACAACACAAATAACACTAACGATACCAAGAGGTCCATGTAGAGCTATTAGGACTGAGACTAAAACTTTGACTCAAACTTACTTTTATATTTATTCTTGTCAACCTTGAGAAAATTGGTTGCAACCCTGCCTCTGGCTCAGATGCGACAGTTTGAGAGTGGGCAGTGCATCGGTGCCACTTTGCTGCCACATTCTGTAACATCTGCAAAGCTGAGCAGCGAGGAGGCTGTCAGACTGGGACCGTCCACGTCAGGAGAATTAACCGCACATAAACCCAACACCTGGCACTGGTTTAAAGGCGGCACAATGCGAGTCAATGGGGACAAGTACCCAATGGCTAATAACGCTCATTTCCAGCTGTCAGTTCTGATCGCTGCGATGATTTGTCATTGGCTGTTTGGCTTCAGTGACGGTGGAGGAAAGAGGGCAGACACTGGACACGCTATAATGACCGCTGTCAGGAAATGCCACAAGTGAAGATGATTCACACATAAATGCTCCTCTGTATGGGGAGCTATTTAAAGGTGCACTACGCAACTTTTTTTCCGGTGACGGGACAACCACATTTCACAGGATTGCTATTATATCAATCTTGACTTGTTTATTAATGATTTATTTTTTTATCTAATGCGCTATTTCTAAACCTCTATTCAACCGTAACGCCACATGTAAAGTCTTGTGTTAAAGATATATTGGAGGATTTTCCCAAATTTTAGTAAAAGCCCTCTCCACTTTTTGAACAAAACTCTCGTGTCTTATTTGACACCAGAATGATTGACAATTGGGAGGACCAATAGTCTTGATGATCCACCCGGAAGTAGAAAATCCTCCTATACACCTTTAACGTTTCTTCTTCCTACTCCCTTTCAGGCAACTATTTTGGTTTATTTATTAGTTATTAGTAATTTTTTTCCCCCTCTCATCTATGTAAGCAATACTTTATCTATTTTTCTTGGAAACTATAATGGACAAGAGGTGACTTGTGCCTAATGGGAAATGCCTGAAATGAATAACTAAACAAATAAACAAACAAAATGAAATGTGGCTCTAATCTCAAAGACGGCAATGTTATATTCATTATACAGGGCCCTACTGAGTGGAGTTTGTGTGTTCTCCCCGTGTCTGCGTAGGTTTCTTCCAGATGCTCCGTATAGGGCACTGTCCGGTTTCCGAAATGTGCTAAAAATAGCTCAGATGACTGCGCATGCGCGCATGTTTCGGACAAACATTGTGTACGACTCGTTGAGTTCTACTGTGTTCTCCTCATACGCGTGTGTATTTATTTGGGCTAAATCATTGAATCATGGTGACAACAAAACACTGCAGTTATGGTGCTTGTCGGAGCGATTTCAGATACTCTGAAAAGGACTATATGAAAGTAACATTCAACCCGTTCGTTAAACCACAACATCGGACCAGACCAGGACCAGACCAGGACCAGATCAGACCAGGTGGGTGCTTGTGGTCGGCAGAATTTCTCTCATGAAAAGGTTAAAAAGGGCACATGTTTTTTCAAAACACTTCGCTGGACCAACTGTGGAGCATCCAGATCCAGTCCTAGCTACGTTTAGCTGGGACTGGATCTGGACCGCTGTATCAGGTCCGTCTGAGCTCTTCTGAATGTAGTTAGCACAAACTTTCTCTTTACACCATTTACCCCCATCAATCCATATTAGTATTGTTTGTCCTAATCCAGAAAGTATACAATTCTCACACCTGAAGAAAGATGAGAGGGATTTTTTTCAACTTTGTGTCTGCTTATTATACGGCTTTGTACCAATTGAACACACAAAATAAACGTCATTCACTACTCATGCCGAAAGGTTTATTTAATGAGTGCAAAGAAATTAGTTCCCAAAGGTTTTCCCGTGGCAGGCGAGTTACAGTGAGGATAGTTAACCTAAAAGCGATCGCTTTAGTCGCATTAAAAAAGTATTTTTGTCATGAAAACCTGAACAGTTAATTCTGAAAACCTCCGTGCACTTGTGTTGTGTATAATGTATTCTCCCATTAACATTTAAATGTGTTGATTGATTGTCATTTGCGTTTACTGAGTGTGGCTAGCTCTGATAGTTTCTCTCTCAGAGACAGTGGCGTAACCCGTTGTGATCATGGATTTATTATAATATCAGCTGACTGTAGCTAACTAATGATCAAACTAATTACAAAGTGGATAGTGCAAAAACAACTTGATAAATGGAAGTTAATCACAGCGAAACAAACAAAGAAGGCGCTAGCATTGCAATTTAAATGACTAGATAATGTTAGCATAATCCTCACCATTATCTTTTTATCAAATCAAACTTTCTACCAGTTACTGGAAGACCACGACATGCAAGCCAACGTTATAATTGGTCTACACTATGATCCCTGATGGTTTGATGGTGGAATTTTGCCCCTGGTATATCATTTTCGTCTAAAGTGACAAGTGGTATTTGATTCATTTCGGCAGTGTTTGTCCGAAATATGTGGGCGGGAGTTGACAGGCGGCGGGGGCGTGTCTTAGTGACGTCATTTAGATAGTTCGCTATTCTCCTACCACTGCACAATAGGCATGAATGTAATGAGTGAGTGGAGAGAATGGAAACATATCGGAGCTCTGACCTTGGTTTGTAAAAATGCTTACTTACTTACTCTCTTATTATACACTTTATTTTAGTCCTATGCAAAATGACTAATCAATCTATCTTTTATTTTTGTTTCACCTCTGCCAACTTGTTCAGATGGAACTCCCGTATAAGTTTCTATTCTACTCTGTTTTCACATGTTGACCTTCTGAACAGAGTCATACATTTTAATAATGTTTTTATATTGTGATGAGTATAAAGTGGACAGTCACCCTGTATCTCTGCTTGCGGCAGAAGCTGATGCAGTTCTGGATGGTGAGCTTGTTGGAGGTTTCGCTGGAGCCGGACAGAGTGGGAGGGTCCCCGCTGTCCTTGTAGCAGCCCAGGTTTCCAGGCACTGCACAGAAAGAGAACAACAAACTCAATAAAACCATCACAGAATGGGTTTGAAATACAGTATTTTGACAGTATGAATAGTTTAGTTTAGTTTATACATGGTCTGAGCTTAACTACACTTTCACTGGGTCCTACAATAATGAATACACAATTTATAAATATTAATGTGAGAAGTAGTACATTGGGTATTTTGTTGTATCCCCACTGTGCCACCACCTGCATGTGCCACAGTGGGGCGGCTGTAAAGTGTCAAACTGTTGTTGTGTCCTTAGGCAAGACACTCCACCCACACTGCCCATGCAGAATGAGTCTGGTGTGTGGAGGAATGAAGGTTTTGCATGGAGAGGCCGACGGCACAGACTGTTGCCTCGCTTCTGTCAGTATCTGCTCCAGGCCAAGCATTATGTCAGAAAAATTCAAAAATATCTAAAGCTGGGACAGTTAACATTTTTCCTAGAGAATATATTTTGTTTGTCCCAGTCGACAATTGTGTAGAAATGAATGTGAACAAATCAGACCACAACATCCTGTATTCATCTTAATGGGAAACATTTCATTTTTTTCAGACCTTTTTGTAAGAACGAGCCCTGCGAGCCATAATTCGAGCTGAGTGAGGGGGCGCCTCTAATATTCTCTTTTCAGTCTAAAAATAAAGGCTGATCTAAAGGTGACAGAGGCAAAAATACATGCAGGTGAAAATAAGTGAAAGCGCTCCACTGTTTTGAGAGCGAAGGCACTTGTTAGATAGATTTTATGACAGAGTTTGATTTCTTGTGGTTTGAAAATGATCTACCCGAGCTGGAAGTACATGAGCCCAGTTTATGATTTACTCGTTTTGACTGAAAGTAACAGGAAGTGAGGACAAAAAGATACAGTATAATAATTGTATCATTTTTATATGTTTGAAATATAACAACAGTAAAAATTATTACTAAGTACCACTACTTCTACAGTGCTACTACATTTGGTAAAATGAGCAAATATAAAATAAACTTCAAAAATAATTCTACAAAATAAATATTGTTGATTGAATAATATTGGAGTTGGGGAATTTATAATAAACACAAGCCATTGGCAGACTGCGATAACATTTTCGAATGGTGTGTAAAAGTTTATATTTACTGGTCAATTTATAAGGTACACTCTGAGCCTTATAAAGTGGTGCTCCGTCTGACCAACGAGACCGCAAAACTCCTTCTCCCTGGATTCATCCTAAATGTTTGGTTTTGTTAATACATTTAGAGACCACCAGGTGTTCAGTCTCTGTTTTCAAACGTAATTTTGTGATTCGACCTAAAATCTGAAATCAATCTATGATACAGACTCATTACAGATACTTGACAATATGCCTTTGTTTGTAATGCTGTATATTATTTTGACCATTATGGATTACATTCTATTTTCAAACTTCTGACTTCTGAATTTTCTGAGATGTTTCATTTGGGGTTTCATTATCAACATAATACCAAAGAATTCCTTGATATCCCATTTTGCATTATGTGTGTCATGTATACATTGCGCATTAAATATCAATTGCAGAAGTAATAGAACAAAATGCTTCCGTGTATACCCTGAACAAACAGCAACAGCCTCTCTTTCCGCACTATATTTGCACAAAGTTTGAAGCTGTCTTTTCAAATGTTTTCCGTTATACAGTAAACAGTAAACTCGGCGTTAAAGCCCATGTGGGAGAAAACAAGCAGGGTTTTAAAACATGCAGACATAGGTGTAGAAATACCTAATCAAGAGTTTTAGGTGTGCGTTACCCAATCCTTTTGAACGGCAGCTGTATTAGACTCCTTTAAGGTGGAGTTGATAAGATAGTTCCTCAAATACAGTCCACAGATTATACTTAGAACTAGAAGAACAGAAAATATTAACTAATTGTGTTGTTTGCCTGATACAAGTTTAACTCTTCAATCTTATAGTGAATAGAGTAAGATTATAATATCACCTACTCTCAACAACCAAATACCGTTGTTCCTGTCCATGGTGAATAGAAAGTACCCAGCAAATGTGAAGGCTTTTTGGCAGAGAATCTTCCATTATTTTTTTTTCAAACATGTGCTTTTTGGGACCTTATTGGCACGACACTGTGTTTGTGGAGATAAACCAGTAGAATGTACTTAGTAACATTAATTATGGATGGGGAGAAGTACAGAGGTGAGAAGGAAAAATTGTGTTGGGTACACAGACGACTTAATAAAGGACTTAATAACTAAACGTGGTCGAACTGATAAGACAGACACACAGATTCTTCGTGCACTATAGATAGGCAGATAGACAGATAGATAGATAGATAGATAGATAGATAGAGAGATAGGGACAGATAGAGAACAGGAGGTGACAAAAAATCTCTGTCAATTTAACACACCGGTGAACACAAACAGTACAATAATGAACAATGAGAAGGTGAGCCTGCAGATTGAAGCCGGCACATCCATCCCACACAAACTGATGCGTTGTGGATTCATAATCTCCCAAAATCCTGCTCGCTGATTAAACAGTGCAATCCCATTCAGTTGTGCATAATAATTGAGGAAGTGGCAACAAAGCCCGGAGCAGTTCGTACCCTCTTGATTATGCAATGCGATTCAAAATGTCTTCCTTCATTTACATAATCTAGAAGAAAAGCACTTCTGACAAACACTACCATCAATACAGTAGTTTCACAACAGAACTTTAGACAAGCCTCTACTCTGACTATGTTCAAAACTAGGTTGAAAACACATGTGTTTAGCCGTGCTTTAAACTGATTCTATTTTGTGCTCTTAAGGGCTTTTATCTCCCGTTTTAAACCCGCATTTTATTGAGAGTTTTAAATCCCTTACTTTTATGCTACTGTTTTAATATGAAATGATTATATTTCATTGACTTTATGCATTTTGATCTGTGTTTTTTAAATTGCTCTTGTGAAGCACTTTGAATTGCCTTTTACACAAATCGTACTATTCAAATAAATGATTGATTGATTTAACTGGATTTGACAAACAATTGTTTTTTTTATCCCACAGAGTAACATTACATTTCTACAGAGGCCAAAAAATATAAAAATGTCTTGAATCGAGTGGTTTTATCTTAATTTGAGAACAAAGATTGTCCAGTGGATAAAGCCATTTAGTTTTATTTCAAGAACTTTTGCTTTATTTTCTAATTCCAAGGGTGACATTTCTTATATTTTTAGAATGAGATCATTATGCTTTGTCCCATTGGCAAATCTTGCTATATATTAAGATACATTTAGTACAATTTTAGACATTATCCCTTTTTGCAGTGTGGTCACATTTATACAGCGCTTTCCAACCTTTTTAAAGAACCCAAAGTGCTTCACACATGCATTCAGGATACACAAATGTGAGTTAAGTGTCTTGCCCAAGGACACACATTCACCAATGGGAGCTGGAAACATACCTGCAGAACTGGAGGTCAGTGGATCTGACGCTCAACCAATGATGTTTATGTGAACAGCAGGATCCCAACAACCAACTTTGAGCTCCAAGGAGACTCTCTCAGTGTCCCCCAACCTTTTTTGAGCGGTGGCAAACCTTTGAAAACCCTCACATGGCACACCACTAGATGAAACTCTGCAGGCATTATAAACAGTCATTCTCATCAAAGTGTAATGAAAAAAAGCACACAAGATGACTTCTCAAGGCAAAAACACTACTTTATCAACTGAACTATACTGCCCTAGCCGTAGCTGGTTAATCAAATAAATAACTATCAATAAATTATGAATATCGGTGGTGAAGTATGACGTAAAAATCCAATAATCCTGAACCATGTTACATTTTGAGAAGTCGTAAATGAAACAAACCCTGTCGTCACATCACTCTTACACTCAAACACTCGGCACAGCACAGAGATCTCCCCAGAGAGGTTTGTGGGCCATATCCTTCCAAACATTTGCATGCCGAAAGCTGTCAGCTCCGTTTGATGATGTCTGAGTTCCCTTGATAAACAACTCTCCCGCGGTCGTAAACAACACTGACCAAGTATTTTGATAAACTCACCTGCAAAACTGAGACCAGTGCAGGCAAACGAACCCTTCCAAACAGCCATATGATTTCATTCTGAGCCAGACATAATAGATTCTCGCAGTGCATCAGAGGGGAAGGGTCGAGTATAAACTTTGATTTTGAAAGTCAAAATCAAAGTAAGGGCCTCTGTTTTATCTCTGCTGACCTACAAGATTTCTTTTCTGATTTACAGTATGCTAAACAGTATTTGACAGACGCCTCTCCACCTCAAGACAATGTCCTCAGTCTCCCTTAGACATGCAATAAATCATGTCTAACAATCCTTTGGAGACACAACCCACAAAATCTCATTACTGGATTAATGCGTTTAAATCGCTTAAAGACCACTTGGAGATCATAGATGCATTAAAGCAGGATTACAACGACAGCAGACATGGCCGCCAGGAAACTAGACACAGTGCAGCTCTTTTAAAAACAACATGATGGAACGCTGTTTATTACGGAATGTTTACATATCTTTGTTCCCAGATTTCCAGATTAAAGGGACAGTACATAGTGTTTTCAATTTTCAATGATACCTTCATCTTTTATATGTGTCCCCAAGTATCAACATGTAGTACACATATTTGAAAGACGGTTTAAAGGAGAGTTATTCTTCATTAAAGTTACAATGAATGTGATGTTGATAGTATTCATGTTTAATTATTTTCAAGCAGATTATCAAATCAGAGAACAGAAAGAGAATGTCATTTGGGCTGTCCTTTTGTTGGCTTTTATTGTTTGCACAAAGTTCGCAAAAATAAAATAAAAAATAATAATAATACCACAAAAATGTAAAGGAAACCAGGCACAAACGAGCTGCATGAGTCACAGGCAGGAAGATTCTGGAAACAAAAGTTGGATTGTGATAATGACTTGATTTCAACCATTCAGAGTGCATACAACATACAAATAAACTAAACCAAACTAAACTATTAAAGGTTTTATAAGAAATTAAATGATAAGAAGACATCATTATGTT